GGGTATACCTTTCTTCCCTGCAGGCCGGGCCCCGGCAAGCGGCGGGGCGGCCGCGGACCGTCGGCCTGGCCAGCGGCAGCGCTGATCGGCGGGGCGGCCGCGGACCGTCGACCCGACCACAAGAGGGACGGACATGGGACCGACCACGACGACGACGACCACGACGACGACGACGACCACGACGACGACGACGACGACGACGACGACGTCGAAGACGACGGCGACGACGACGTCGAAGACGACGACGAGCGAAAGCGAGAGCGAGAGAGAACGACAGCAGGGCCACGAAGGGCACGAAGTAGGCCACGAAGGGCGACAGCGGGGACACGAAGGGAATGCGTATGGGGCCACGGAGAACGAGGGCCACGAAGTGCAGATAATGCGGGGCCACAGAAAGCAACTATGGGGCCACTGAGGGTAGCAACTGGGCCACGTAGGACAGTGAGGGGGACACAAATGGCGACAGCCGGGCCACGAAGGGCACGCACATGGGGCCACAACGGGCGCGACTCCTGGGTGCCTGGGTGTCGGGAACGCGGCGCTTGGGCAAATTGCAAGAAATTCCAACGCAAGGCCATTCTTCAGAAAGTTGCAAGCAAGTCTCCAGCGAGAGCGCGAGTCCAGAGCGCCGGGAGAGCGATTCTTGAATAAATTGTAAGGAAGTCCCAAGCGAGAACGAACAATAATTATTCTTCAGAAATGAAAATTCAACAACAACAACAACACCACCAACAACAACAACAACAATCATTTAAGACTGGGGACACTCCGTTCTCACCAGTGCCAGGGTTTTCATAGGAGGCGGGCAATACCCCCACTTTGTGGGGGGGCCGGTTCAAGCTCTACCAAATTTCCAAACGACTCTTCGCCACCACCCACACCCAGCTTCCCGCCCTATGACGTTCGGACACTTCACTTCGTGGCATGCGGACGACCGTGGCTACTATTCAGGGCCCCGCGGCCGACGACGACGGCGTGCGCGCGCGAAGAAAAAACGAATGTGTCCAATATGGTATTATTTGACAGGGATGATGGCCCTGGCATGCGCGCAACCGTTGTTGCAGAAGTTCGAAGCACGTGAAAAAGTTGCTCGCAAGAGCCCGTTTGACAGAAATGTTGAAAAAAAATTGGGTTTCCTCAGAAATCCGCAAGAGCGCGCAAGATGAATGTTTGAAACTTTGTTTTTGAAAAACCATTGGGTTTTTCATGTTTTTATGTTAAATTCGCTACGAAAACTAAGGTTTTGGAAGGATTTCATCTTGCGCGCGCGAGTGTGCACTTCGTGTCATTTTTTGCTCGAAGGATTCTTGAAGTTTGGTTATGTTAGAACAAGAAATTTCATTGTATAGTGTTTTTTGCAAGGGAAAGCGGGGGGGAACAAAACAACCGGATCCGGACACCCACGTTTTGCCTGAGACCTCCTCACGAAAATGATGAAAATGTGGCTGCGGCCTAGGCGCGGCGAGGGGGCCGCGCACCAGGGGTCCCAACAATAATTATTCTTTAGAATAAATAATGTTCAACAACAACAACAACAGCAACCACCGCCACCACCGCCACCACCGCCACCACGACGACAACAACAACAACATCAACACCACTAACAACAATAACAACAACAACAACAACAACAACAACAACAACAACCCGCACCGCTGGACCCAACATCAGCCACACACCCAGGGATGGTGAAGGATCGTTCTGCCTCCCCAATCTGACTTACAGTTAACCCGTATGAGAAGGACGCACGATGAGGATGCAAGGGCCTTGGAAGACCATGCCGACACTTTGCCAGCTGGGCGCGGTCAGCGAAGGCGGCCCAGGATGGGCCGCACGGGGAGGATGCAGGGGCACCCTTGAAGACCGTCGCTCATCCTCACCATGCAGGTTGGCTGTAGCTCACACACAGGGGCCCCACCACTACCACCGCGAGGCGCCCCTGCCGTGGCCCCGCCGCGGTGATTGGCGGCGTCCTGCTCGGAGGCGTCCCCCACCCCTCCAGCCCCCCGGGGGTCATCGTGGACATCCTCGCCGTCGGCGGTGGCCCGCCGGTGGTGGTGGCCCTCCTCCTCCCCTCCGACCCGTCGGCAGCCTCATCATCCCGGATGCGGTGGCAGCGAAGGCCGCGAGCCCCACGGCAGCACGCATCCTGTGCCAGGTGGGGGTGGATCCACGGAGTGCAGTACACGGGCAGGCAGGAGGGCCGGCCGTGCTGACCGACCTGCTCACAGACTGAGCCAGGCTGGCTGGGAGGGGGAAAGACTGAAGGGGAATTGGGACACACAAAAAACAATACACACAAATAGCAATATCCCCCATACTTTACCATTTTTTTTTCTGGGTTTTTGTCTTCCCCCACACTTCCCATCTTTTCCCACGTTTTCTGGGAATCGCCGATAACTTGTGTCTGTGTGTTTCTTTTCCTCCTGAAAGACCAGCGCGCGACATGGAGGGAGCAGATCCTGCCGCCCAGACCTGCGCCCGAGCGCGGGCGGCACGCGGACTGACGAGGGAGGGGCAGGACGAGGAGGAGGAGGAGGCGGGAGAACCTGGAGGAGGGGCAAGCGACAAAGGAGGCGGTGACGAATCTGGCACGCGTCCGAGGACTCGCCGCCGCCAGCACTCGCCCAATCGCTCTCCTCTTTCCGAAAATTTCGGGAAGAGCGGATCCTGGATCTCACCCCCTCCCACCCCTTCCCCCGCCAACTTGGAATGCATCGGAAGATCGGCCCCTGGACCGTCTTGGGGCCATCTGAGGCGCCTCGTGGGTCGTCTTGGGGCGATATCGGGGGCTTCTCGGGTCGTCTTGGACGCTGATAGGACCGAAGAAGCAAATATACTAAACATCTGCGCTGCCCAAAGGGAGAGCGACGATTTGTGCCCCTTGAGGCCCTCTGGGAGGCCTCTTGGGTCGTCTTGAGGGACTCTGTGGCCGTCTAGAAGCCGTTCTGGGCGGCTTGGAGCGCTCCTGTGCCGCTTTGGGAGCCTCTTGGGCCAGGTTGGGGAACTCTTTGGCTGGTGTGGGGTCCGCTTTCGACTGTCCAGGAGCTCCTCCGTCAAGTGCCCCAGAGCCAAGGAGTACCGTCAAAAAGGTATGGTGGGGGGGGTGTCGGCCATCCGTTTCTTCTCCCATGAAACATGTATGATTAATGGAATCTGCGTCATGTATACCCACCTTGTCCTCAGCTCCATCCTCCTCCACACTCCTGCCCGACAGTTCTTGGTTCTTCCTTCTGATGCCGCTGGGTCAAGCATGAAGAACACAGGAAATTTGACTGAGATGAACGAGTGGTGGGTACTGCGAGTAATGATTGTGCGCCCCCTCCTTCTCCACGTCTCTCTCCCCACCTCCAATCATCATGGTTATAAGTGTTTCTGTTTTGTTCTCTCGTCCCCTCCTCCTTTCCCCGGTCCCTCAATCCCCTCTTCTTTCACCTCCGCCTACCTTTCCTTCCTCCTCTGATTCCTCCTCGCCGCTCCTTCTTACTAGCATTATTGCGATTATTATTATATGCCTCCTCCTGCTAATCTCCCCCCGCTGCCTCCTCTCCCATCGTCTTCCTGCTCAGCACTTCCGCTGCCACCTCACCCTCCTCCTCATCCCATGCATCTCGTCCCTTGCCGATCATCGTTCTTTCCCTCCCCCTCCCCCCCCTCCGTCAGGCTCCTCGTCCAAGGGCGGGAGGCATGATGGGGAGTGCTGGCGGGTTCGGAAGGGGAAGGAACGAGAGGGGGGGGGATCGATGACCTGATGGAGGGAAGGAGGGAACCAGGGCAGAGCGCAGCTCGCGGCCGAGTGGCGGGAGACCGCGGGGGAGGACGACAAGGGAACAAGGGGGGGGGGGGAGGACAGGTGGCGAGGACGACGCCGGGAGAGCAGGGGGGGGGGGGCAGGGGGGGCGAGGTGGGGGGGGCAGAGTCGAGGAAGGGGGGGGATTGGGCGCGAGGAGGGGGCGGGGGCTCCGGGGGATGGGCGGCCGCCGAAGAGGTGGAGGAGCGGAGCGGGCGAGGGGAGCCTGCCTCGCCTTCCCTCCGCCGCTCCCGAGGAGGTGGTGCTGCGGGGGGGGGGGGGGAGGCTGGAACGCTCTGCACCGCGCTTCGCCCGCTGTGGCGGGGGCGGGGGCGCTCTCGGGCATCTTCGCCCTCGCCCGGCTGCAGGGTGGCGCGTCTCGCGGAGCCCTGGGGGTCGGCGGGGGCATCCTAATGACGCGCCTCGCTCCCGCGGGGCGTGGCCCACTGACGGCATGGTCGTGTCGTGGCGACGTTGGCGCTGGATTGCCGCGCAGATCGTTCAGTCGTGAGCGATCGTGGACTTGCCGTAGCGCAGATGCTTCGATGTCAGCCGACGCCGAGCCACCAGCGGCGTCCAACCTTGAACGCCCGCGCCGGAATCGCCGACGCGTTGACGCGGCGCGGACCTGCCGCGTACGGCGAAACTGCGGAACATGGCAACCAAGCCCTGGCCCTGGGTCTGGGAAAGCAGCAGGGGGGCGGCCAGGACTTGTGGGGCCCGATGGGAGCCGGGGACGGCGGCGGCGAAGGAGCGAGCGGAGTGGGAGTTGGGGGGGAGGAGGGGGAGAGTGCGGCGAGACTGTGCATCCTCGGGCGCGCATCGCTGGAGGCGCCCCGAGGCGTTCGGCCAGCTGCGGGCACCCAGCAGGATCTGGTGAAGATGGCGCGCACGACGCGGAGCACCGTACGCTGGTGAAAGAGGTTCCGCTGGTGATGCGATGCGATGGAGGTGGTGAGCGTAATGACGACAGGCGACTGGGGCGATTGCATCGAGAGATGGCTAAAACCGCAATCAGCAATTTGACGACGGCAGTCGTCCATACGATGGCGACGACAGGAGTGCAGACAGAGGTGGTGATGCCGACCATGGCCCATGGCTTCGACGGCGGCGAGGGGAGTCACAGGAAATGCACGTGCTGGTGTCATCGAAGATGCCGAAAGCCGCGAGGCCACTTACGGTGATGATGGCGGCGACGAGGATCAGGATCGTGAGGTCGATGGCCAGCGAGATGGCGACTCCCACGACCCATGTTTTGGGGCCTCCCAGGCGCTCGCTGCCGCGGCGTAGCACGCCGAGGACAGCTGGCCGACGGCTGGCGCCGCGGCGGGGCGCCAGCGGCTCACCCTGCCGAGGCGTACCTCCCCTCCACGTAGAGGTCCACCAGGACGTTCTTCACCAGGAGCCGCCACGCCGACTCCAGCCGCTCGGCCGTCTTCTGCTCCTTCGCCGCCTCCAGGCGATCCCTCTCCGCCGCCGCGGCCTCCGCCACCGCGGGCGCGTCGCGCTGCCAGACCACCACGCCGCCGAACCGCGGCTTCACCGCGCCCCCCCGCTCGTGCGCGAAGCCCACCACCGCGGGGGCGAACTCCACGCCCAGGCGGGCCGCGACCGACCTGACGACGGGCCCGTCGTCCGGCACGTGCACCACGCCGGGCGGCAGGGCCTGCGCGGCCCCAGGCCCGATCAGCTCCAGGTTGCCGTAGTTGTTGACGCCGGGGATGGGGCCGAGCTGGTCCTGCGCGGCCGGCGCCGAGGGGGCCTCCTGTGCGGGGCGGGGCCCGAGAAGCCCCTGCAGGAGGAGGCACGCCCTCGGAGGTCCGCGCAGTGTCGTGGGTCGGCGCGGGGCCTCCCCGGCGGCGCCTCTGGCGCCGGCCCGAGGAGGAGGGGGGTCCAGCGCCGGACTAGAAGAAATCTGCGCGGACACCCGAACATTGGAGTTCATCTGCTCCAGATCCCCCACTAAAAAGGAGGGGGTCACAACCCTCGAGCTTGTTCAGACTCCCCATCGACCAGCCATGCCCAGACCCCACACTGGAGCCCTCACAGACAGCTCAAAGCAGACCTTCCCCCTTGTATGGAGGAGTAGCTGTTTCTTCTTTGACTTCCGGCGCGGGCTCTGTCTGCCACGCGCCGTACAGCGGCATCTGGAAAGCGCTGCCGCCCCGGAGCGTCTTGACGGCCCGCTCGCCCTGACGCACGCAGCGGCCCTGCCGCCGCCACTGCGCTGGGGAGCGCAACTCCTGCACGTCGGCCCGGCGCCAGATCCTCTCCTGCCCGCGGAAGAGCCCCGCCGGACGGGCCCCGGCCGGGTGGACCACCTCGTTCTGGCGCAGCTGCGACTCGAGCACGTACCTTGCCGTGGAGGGCACGGGCCCTGGAGGAAGCGGGATCTGGACCACGGGCAAGGCGCCCAGCACCAGATTCTCACCCCGAGTCGCCTTTTTGATTCTCCTGGGGCCCGTGGACGGCCCCAGAGCCCGAGAAAGGCGACCAACCTCCAGGACACGGCTTCTCCCATTGAGCAGGGACTGACCGTCCCGGCATTCCTATATGCTTCCACGACATGCCCTTAGAATCCGAAAAATGTTCGAAGAACACAAATCAGGATCTTAGAACATAAACCCGATGTGCTAAAACAAGACAGTCCCAGCCAGACATGTTCTAAGAACATGTTGTGAAAACCACAATCGGCTCTTAGACCATTGTTCGGTAGGCCTGATAGGCACGCCAGGGCGCTTCGCCACTGCTTGATCCAAGACCCCTTTTCCTCCGTGGTCGCGCACCCGCAGTGGCGCTTGAAGCCCGCGCGAGACGTCGGCACCGGCTCGCGCTGCGCCCGCCTCGCCAGCGACTCCTCGTCGAGGAGGTCGGCCCGCGCCAGCCTCACGGCCTGGCTGTCCAGCTCTCCCGCCGCGCCCGGCTCGGCCAGGGCGGCCACCAGCGCCTCGAAGCGGCGCCCCAGCGAGCCGCGCGCGGCCAGCGTGGCGGTCCAGCGCGCGGCGTACCTGCGCGTCACGTCGTGCAGCCCCCCGCCCTCGCCCGCGGCCAGCACCCAGTCCCGCCCGCGCGGCGCCGCCGGCGGGCCCAGGACGGGGGCCCACCTCCAGAGGCGAAAGATCGGGGCGAAGGGCCCAAAGGGGGGAGCAGTGCTGCGTGTATCCAGGGGCGCCGATGATTGATGCCTTCGGCGAGGCCAGGCGAACACGTGTAATGCCCGCCCCTGGGCTAGTCGCCCTGATCGTCGCCGCCGACAACTGGGCGACGAAACGGAGCGGGTCACGCGCATTATGACACAGCGACCTCACGCCGCGGCTTGCGCGGGCCGCCAGCGCGGCACGCCACACTGGAGCCGAGGGCGCTCACACGCGCGACCTTACGCCTTACGCAGGACGATTGCGCGCCAGCATCGGTGACGACGACCCCGCTTGTCTGCGTCGCCCACCTGCCGGCCACCTGGTCGAAGACCTCGGCCCACACCAGCGGCGGGGCGTCCGTGCCGCTTTCGCCCACGAGCAGCCCCAGGCAGCCCCGCACGGGCGGCAGGGGCAGCGCCATCACGACGCGCGCAGGCACCGCGTCGGCTCGCGCCCGGGCGACGGCGAGCAGGGCGCAGTCCTCAGCGGAGGGCGCGCGCCCGCCGCGCAGCACCGCCAGCAGCCGCCACCGGTGGGACCAGGCCAGGGGCCAGGAGCCCTCCTCGGCGGCGGCGGCCTCGGCGCGGGGCGCTGCCGCAGAGAGGAGCCCCAAAACGTCACGGACAGGGGCGTTTTCGGAGGTCCGCGCGGCCTTCTGGCGTCGGCGCTACAGATGGCCCCGCTCGTCGGGGCGCCTCCATGGCCGCCCCGGGCGCGCTCCGCGCGCGGGGAAGCGGGGCCCGGCGCCGACCCGAGAACATCGACCAGACGTCCGACAGTTGCTGTCCGTGCCGCCGGTGCTCCTCCGATGGCGCCCCAGGAGGAGCGGCGGGCCAGGCCGCCGCGAGCGACCTGGACGGCGAGGCGCGGTCCACGCACGGGGCCTGCGAGGCCGCCAGGGCCTGCAGGAGCGCGTCGTCGCACGCGTCGCTCAGCGACCGCAGCCGCGCCGCGAAGCACAGCGCCAGCGCCAAGTGGGCGTCGGCGGCCCGGCGGCGCAGCTCGGTCTGCCTCCTGCGCTGATCCTCGGCGGGGCTCGCTGATGCGCGCAAGCTAAGACCGAGCCCGGGCAGGGATGGCATCGGACTTTTTTCCGTCAGCGGCGAGGCGGCGAAGTCCGCTCCAGCCAGAAGCTAGACAGGGGCACTACCTAGCGAATTGGCCGGCGGGCAAGGAAGGGGGGACGGCCGAAAGAAAGAAAGGACGCTCAGGGGATGACATCGGACAGGGTATATCGGAATTCTCCGAGAGGACGTATCGGGCGCCGCGGCTCCGAGAGCGTCCTTGAACGCTCTGGAACGATTTCATCATTGTCGTAGCCCCGCCCAACACGCCGCTCCCGGACCCCCACCTCTTCAGCAGAGAAGAACCACCCTCATAAGAAGCACCTGGACGCAGTCAACGCACCCACTGAAGGAACCGAGCAGAGCAAGCCTGTTCAGTAAACCCCCCAATCCATCTACCGAATGCAAATTCTCTGGTCGGGGTGGTTCTTCCTCCCTTGATGACTCCTCTCGCTGTGCCAGAAATCCGGGGCCCAACCATGGCCTCCATATGGGGGCCATGGCTGGGTCCCGGAACCGTCAAGCACAGATGAAAAGCCCGCCCCAGAGAAAGGGAACCGACATCTAGGGGTCTGCGGCATGCGCTGTATAGCAATCACAACATTGGAGTTATGGGTAGTGCTGGTCAATCTCCCAAGTGCGAAGATCGCTCTGGGGGGCGCGGGCCGCAGGCAGGAAGCGTCGCCGGATGCCGTGCTGCGACCGCCCCAGAGCACCACCCGTGACTGCCTCCCGAGGCAGGGAGTGCCCCTGACGCATACGACGAGGCGACGGTTTCAGTGCGCGGCCCCAGCTGGCCGATGCCGGAACCCCTGGAACCCAAACTTCAGGAGGAAAAAAACACACAGACACAATTAATCCTCGATTCCCAGAAAATATACCAAAATATGGGAAGTGGGGGCGAAGACAAAAAACCCTAAAATATGGGAAAATATGGGGGATATTTTTATTTGTGTGTATTTATTTGTGTGTCCTGGGGCCCCTTCAAAACTGTGGCCATCTCTTGGGGGCGCATCTTTTACGCCCGCCGGCTTCCGCTGGCCCTCCGCCGGCGGAGCCGCCCTGGCTTCTCTTCCGCCGCCGTCCGCCGACCTTCCGCCGACCTTTCCGCCGCGGAAGAGATGGCAAACCCCTCGATCATCTGAGTGAGGGCCCTTTCTGGAACGCTCCAGCTCGGGGTCCCGACGCATCTAAAACAGGGCTAGGATCGGGATAAATCGCTCCAGAGCGTTCCGGAGCGCTCTCAGAGCGTTCCGGAACGCTCTGGAGCGGCCGCGGCGCCCAATGCATCCTCCAAACCCGCCGATTCTCAGAGATTTCGAGTTATCCCGATCCGATGTTGTCCCGATCTTCGTGTCGTTTTAGGGCAACAAAGAGATGCCCGGATCCAAACAGCAGCAAAAGACGGGCCGTCGGAGGTCCGGGCCCCGTGCGCGCGCGCAGCTCGGCACCTCCCCCTCCTCCTCCGCCTCCTGGGACCTCTGGCGTCAGCTGCTGCACTCCTGGGGCCTTGTAAACCTGGGACCTCCGAACGTCAGGCAAGCTGCTGAACCTCTGGGACCTGTCGCGTCAGCTCCGCCTCCTCCCGCCCTCCTCCTCCTCCTCCTCCTCCTCCTCCTCCTCCTCCTCCTCCTCTTCCTCCTCCTCCTCCGCTTCATCTTCCGCCTCCTCGCCCTTCCCCTCCTCCTCCTCCTCCTCCTCCTCGCTCTCCTCCTCCTCATCTTCCTCCTCCTCCTCCTCCTCCTTCTCCTCCTCCTCCTCCTCCTCCTCCTCCTCCTCTCCGCACGCAAGCGTGACGCCAGGCAAGAGTGAGCTTCGGTGCGCTGCTTTCTGGTGGCGGGGGGGGGACCACCCGAGAGCGCGCAGGCCGCTGCTGTTGCATCGCATCGAACCGTCTGGGGGCCCCAGGTGTGCCCGCACCACAAACCACTACGGCGAAGGTCACTCTTGCGCGCAGGCTTCAGGTCCATATCCACTTCGTCTTGGACTGTCTGGGAAGGAGCGCCAAAAGGCCGAGGCGCCGTGGATTTGGATAGAAAACTGGCCTGTAGGAGCTGGATTTTTACCCATACCCACAGCGACTCTGGCTTCTGGGGATGGGAACCCGAAACTCCAAGACGCACTACATATGGATGTCAATCTTGCCCGCGTCTCTCGGCGACTCCGAAGGATGCGGTTTGAAAAGAGTGTGGTTTGCAACCGGCACCCTGCGGGGAATCCCTGGGGGGCGGGCGAGGACCTCGACAGAGATCTCCGCCACGCCCTGAGGAGGCCCAGCGGTGACAGCGTCGTGCTCCCCGGGCACCAGCGGTGCCGAACGCAAACCACACCCCGGCGTAACCATGATCTTTGTAGTCGCCGAGGCTCTTAGGTGTAACCGACCCGAACCCTGCCGCCGCTCCCCACTGCACCGACCTTGCAGACGTGCTGCCGCAGATGTTTGTTTGGATTTGTATCAATGCAAAACCCCGAAACGGCGAGTGAAAAACGAAGTGAATTTCGCGTGGATGTTTTGTTGGTCCTCTTTCTTGCCCCCAAACAGTCCGCGCGAAACTCATCTCGAAACCGGGAACGAAATTCTCCCGGAGAATCGGAGCCCATCTTATGGTTCTCCGACCGAAATCCGCTCTGCGACGTTGGCGCCAGGACCGCTCCTCGTCCCTCGGGGCGGCCAGCGGGCCCGGCTCGCCGGACACGGCAGCAGGCCCAGCGCCGACAGCGGGCGCGGCGGCGGCCGGCGGCGGACGCTGGTCGCCCGCCGGCTGCGGCGCGGGCGAGGTCTCCGCGGGCGCTGCGGCAGCGGGCGCGCAGGCCGAGGTAGCCTCTGCGGCCGTGCACCACTCGATGTCGGCGTACTCGTCGTCCTCGTCCTCGTCGTCGTCCTCCAGGCGGCCAGTCCCGGCACGAGCGGCAAACACATCCGCATCCGTGCCCTCGCGTTCCACACAGAAAACACCACCAACCCGTGCAGTAAGGCTGCGCGGTAAGGATGCCAGCGCCTTGGAGGGCCATGTTGACGTTTCTCGAGCAAGGCTGCCCAGCGAAAGTTGCTCAGGAAGGGCCGAATGGACAAGGGTGCAAAGTTAGCCTTGCAAAGTTGCTCATCCTTACTATGCGGGTCGGTGAGGAGCGAGCCACGGGGAGGCATCCCGAGGGGTCGGTGATCCTCCTCTCCTCGCCCCCCTCCTCCTCCTTTCCACCCTTGTTATCCTACTCCTCGTGCTTGTGCTCCTGCTCCTCCTCCATGTGCCCCTACTGTGCGCGTGCGCTTCCCCCTCGGAGAGCGAGGCGGGGTAAGATGAGAAGGAGCTCCCTCTCTTAGCCCCTACTTTGCGGGTGCGCTTCCCACTTTGAGAGCGAGGCCGGGTAAGATGAGAAGGAACCTCCTCTCCTCTCCTCTCGTCTCCCTCCGCTCCTCCGCCCGCCTCCCCCCGACCGCTGCCTCCTCCTTCCCGCCCCCTCTCCTTTTCCGCTTTTCCTCCCTGCCTCCTCCTCCCCTCCAGGAGGAGGGGGTGCAGGCGAGGGGGGGGGGGCGCTGAGGCAGGAGGGGGCCTGAGGAGGGGGCGAGGAGGGGATCCCGCGGCGTGGCGCGTGCCGCCGCGCTGGGTGGCCCCGAGCCCACGTCCTCGCGCAGGAAGGCCTCCAGCACCGTGGACGCCATGGGAGGATGAGGAGGGATGGGAGGAGGGAGGATGACATGTGGGGGGGGGAGGAGGGCAGGAAGGGAGAAGGGAGGGAGGAAGGGAGGGAGGAAGGGAGGGATGAGGGGGATGCGGGAGCAAGGGGAGGAATGGAGGGAGATGGAAATGTTTGGTTGGTTGAGTGGTTGGTTAGCCTTACCCAGGGAAGGTAACATGTCGAATCCCCGTGTAGGGAGGGGGCAAGGTCTGCGGAACGGGGGGGGAGCGGGGGGTAAGAGAGGGAGAGAGGAGGGAGGGAGGGAGAGGGAGAAGGCTGGAGGGAAGGGAGACGATTAGGGAGTCGTCGAACGAGGAGGAGGGGATCGGGGGTGAAATGTGGAACAGGGACGGGGTTGGCAGGATGTTTGTGGACGTCGTCGGGACTCATCTGTAATTTCAACGGCTTTGACATGTACAACGTAGCACCCCGCAACTGCTGATTAGAATGGGTGCGCGGGCGCGGGGTGGGTCGCGGGTGGGTCTGGGGCGTGTCGCGGAGGGGTCACTGGATGGGTCGCGGGTGGGTCGCGCAGTGGGTCGCGGGTGGGTCGCCGGGTCCCGGGCAGGTCGTGGGGTGGGTCGCGGGTGGGTGGCGGGTGGATCGCGGGTGGGTCGCGGCGTGGGTCGCAAGTGGGTCGCGGGTGGGTCGCGGGTGGGTCACGGACAAGATCGCGGGTGAGGCGACGACAACAAACAAAACAACGGCAACAGCAACGACAACGACGACGACGACGACGATGACGACGACGACAACGACGACGACGACAACAACAACAACAACATCATCAACAACAACAACAACAACAGCAGCAACAACA